GACTATTCATGGAGATAACCTAGAACCCCTGCACAGATGTAGCCCACGGCAGTTCAGTGTCCAAGTGGGTTACATAGTAATGGGAAGGGGGACTGCCTCTGACATAATCTGATTGGCCTACTCTTTGATCACCTCCCCCTGAGGGGGGAGCAGCCTTACCAGGCCACAGTAGAGGACATTGCAGCCACTTTTGATGAGAGCTGATACACTAAGACCAGAAAGGAGAGGAGAACCTCCCCTATCAGTGGACTTGGGGAGTGGCATGCATGCAGAAAGGAGAAGAAGGGTGGGATCGGGAGGGGAGGAGGGAGGGGCTTATGGGGGGATACAAAATGAATAAAGTGTAATTAATAAAAAATTAAAAAAAAAGAAATCACAGATATGTATACAAAGATTTAGATACAGGTATATTCATCTTATACTACTTGAGGGAAAAATGAATGAAGATGAGGAAGAATATGGAATAAATATGAATTTATTAATAACTTAGGTTAATAAAGTACAAATACGTCCAGTCTTTAACAGAGTCTGTAGTTAAATGCTACAAAGTTATAACTAGATATGAAGAATAAATTCTGGCACTCTATTTTTCAGTAACTATAGTTAATAATGGGTATTTTAAATTTTCTAAAAGAGTAGACATTAAATGATGTTACTACAAAGAAATATGTGAATAATAGATACCTTAATTACCCAGAAATAATCCTTTACAATGTACACATTTGTTATTATAAAAAACCACACTGTAACCCATAAAGACATGTAACCGTGTCTGTGCATGTATATGTGTGCATATGCGGAATTCAGAGCTGTGGTGTCATTTCTCAGGTGCTATCACCTTGTTTTTTGAAATAGAGTTGCTCACTAGCCTGAGTTCACTGATTAGGTAGTGGCTGGCTGGCCAGCAAGTACTAGGGATCCAACTATTCCTGCCTCATCAGCACTGCATTACAAGTGTGTCACCACACCTGGCTTTTTTTCTTTATTTCTTTATTTTTTTATTACAATTTATTCACTTTGTAGCCCAGCTGTAGCCCCCTCCCTTATCCCTTCGCAATCCTGCCCTCCTTCCCTCTCCTCCTCTCATACCCCTCCCCAGTTCACTGATAAGGGAGGTCTTCCTCCCCTTTCATCTGATCCTAGCCCACCTGGCTTTTTAATTTGGGTGCTGAAAGTCAATCTCAGATTCTCACTTGCCAAGCACTTTACTTAGTGAGCTATCTGTTGCTTAACAATTTGTTTCCAGATTGAAACATTCCATCAGGAAGCTCTTTTAAGCAGAGAGATGAAAAATGAAGTAAGCTTCAGGAAATCTCTGAAACTGACCAGATTCATTAGGCCCCTCCCTCCCAGAGTAAGCAATAAGGCTCCTGAAAGTCACTCTCAGATAAGCCATGCTCAAGAGAAGACTCAGCAAAACCAAGCTGCCATCCAACAAGACTCTCAGAAGACTAAAAGCTGAAAAGAAGATGCTGAAATCAGCCCCGCTGGCTGGAAGTGGTGTAGGTAAGAGTCACTTAGAAAAAACACCCTCCAACCTGCTGAGCTGCCTGTAGGATATATAGCATGCAGTGTGTTCCAGGTTCCCAGCTTTGGGAGCTGTCACCCCTGCTGTGGTGAGCCCTGGTGATGCAGCTGTCTTTGAGTCGTTTCTGTCCTTGTAAGTACCTTCACCCATTCTCCTGTAAATAACCCCAATAAAACTCACTGGTTCACCAAGTTGGACTTTGGTAGTATCTGTACTCTGGTCAGTCATAGATTCCCTATCTAGGGTGAGTAGATATGTATGTTGCATCTCCCCAGGAAAAGTTTTGCCACATAATACAATATTTCCAACCACAGTATGTAAGTAGTCAGTCAAAAGGAGGAAAAGTGAAATGCTATATCTATCAAAAGAATCCAATTCAAAAAACACCACTATTGGTATGCACTCAGCTTTGCTCCTTCCTTTGGACCCTCTCAGCCCTCCCCTTCCAGCACATCCCATTCTTCTGTGTCAGTACCTGATACCCAGGAGTATAATCCACCTGGGATCCCAGGAACCACAGCTGACTGGGACTCAACTAGGTGAATCATATTCTCCTTCCTGTCCTCCATTACAGCTTTTCAATTCCCATCCTCAACCCTGTAACATCCTGCTTGCACGTACCCCTCCTCCCACCTCAACTCCACTGACTGGAAACTTCCACTGATACTCTTTGTACAGACCCAGAGTCCTCCTAGTTCATCCACCCCGTCTATCCAGATCATTCTTTGTTTCACTGCGCATACTTTTAGGAGGCTCTCCTCCCACCATACCTTCAACTCCCTGGGGACTATCCCTCGCTGATACCCAACAACCTGAAGAAGCTTTCTCTATTAGGCAACCCATAGCTACAACATTTTCATAAGATGTAGAACGGGCAATAGAAACCAAGAAACAGGACACCTACCCAACAAAGACAAGACTAGATGTCAACATCTAGAATCCCCTCAATCATCCTAACTCAAATGGTTAGACACCAATTCAAAACACATAAAATTGAACACCCAAGACAGCCTCCACTAGAACCCAGTAATCCTACTACAGTAGGCCCTGAGAAGTGAAATAAAGCTGAAGAAGAAGACAGGACTTCAAAACAACAATTTCGAATATGTTCAAGGGCCTTGTAGAAGATGAATAAACCCCTTAAAGTATGTGAAAACACAAACAGTGGACTAAAATAATTAAAACAATTCAGATGAAAGAAGAATGTAAAAAAGAAACATAACCATTAAAGAAACCCTACGAAAAATAAAACTGGAAATAAAAATTTAGGAAGTCAAACAAAAACCTCAGAGGTAAGCCTCATTAACAGATTACAAAACATGGCAGACAGAATCTCAGGTGCTGAAGACAAAGTGAAAGAAACAGATACATCACTCAAAGGAAATGTTAAATCTTAAAAAAAAAAAAATCCAGGCACAAAATATACAGAAAATCTGGTACACTATAAAATGACCAAATCTAAGAAAACAGGAAAAAGAAAGAAGAATCACAAATCAAAGGGAAAAAAAATCCTGAATGAGGTAATCTAGACCCTAAATTTTAAGTATTTTATGTATTCTCCTATATATAGATATTAGCTCCTAAGTTATTGATAGGTATGCTATAATCCATATGACCAGAGAGTTTATGTATAGAGTAAGTAACTAGGGGAATAAGGAAGAAAAAATATAATATGTAGTTATGAAACAATGGGAAGATAAGAGCAAGATTAAATGTGAAGAGAAAGAGAAAAGGGTAAGAGAGGAAATACAGGAAGGGGCAACTTAAACTAGGGGCAATTTGGGGGGTCATATGAAAACCTGTAGAAGCTTCTCAGGTTATATACGTATATGAAAGGAATATAAATGATGTCACCAAATAAAGGGAGAGACAAAGCCCCAACTAGAAATCTTTTACCCACAAGTAAGTGGGGTATAATGCCAGGAATGGATTATATCTAGTAGAATCATTAGCCAAATGGGCCCTTTAGTAACACCCAAACTTCTCAGGTTATTGTCAAAGCTACTGGTTGCTCTTCACAAACTGATAGTAAAGCCTTATTGCTGAAGACAACATTCACATAGCTCATTAAACATGGAGAAGTTGAATTGGTGCCTAACTACAGCCTTTGCCCCTATGGACTAGTGTTCATGGTACTGGAAGTTACTCTGAATACCTCCAGATAAGAAGAGTACCACCAACCCAACTACCAGCCCTGAAATCTACAAATTTCCCTGCCTGCAAGATATGCTGTTGCAATAGTGGCACAAACGTTGTGGGAGTAATCAACCACTCTCTGCTTAGATTGAATGTCTACTCTACACTATGGAACCCATGCCTGACACTGCCCAGGTGGCCAAAGACCTAGGTCATGGGCCTAGAGGAAAACCAAATAAACCTAGCAAAAAATAAATAACTCACTCCTAATTATTCTCTGTTATACCTATAGATCAGTGCCTCTCTAAGCCATGAGAGAGAAGCTTCCTCTTACAGTAGATAGGAACTAACACAGAGACCCATGTGCAGAGAGTAAGAGAGTCTGAGAAACTCAGTTCTAACTGAGATTGTCTTCATCAAACCCCTCCATTCAGGACTCGAGGGTTATGTTCAGAGGACACAGAACGATTGTAAAAGCCGCTGGAATAGATGACACCAAGGAAACAGTGTATCCTGAGACACAACAGGACTGAAACACGTACAACTCACCAAGACTGTGGCAGAATGCTCAGGGCCTGCACAGGTTCAAGCCAGACAGGATCCTGAAAGGGAGGATGCTGAAAGGGAGAAGCACACACAGGTTCCTACCTCTAACAAAGAAGCACTCTCTAAACGCCATCCAATTGCAAAGGAGAAAGCACTTTTCTCCAATGGGATCTCACTGCACACCGCAGGGTGGGCCCCGTACTCAGCAGGAAATGACCCACACAGAATCAACTCAATGGCATTTTCTAGTGGTTTTCTCACAAACGGCTTTGTTTGGGCATTTTTGTCTTACTGATCCTTTGGATTCTTTATAAATTTTATTTTTATGGTGTGTGTGTATGTCTATGTTTCTTGTGCTTTTTTTTTCTTTATTATTCTTGTTTGGTTTTTGTTTGCCTATTTTTTCTAGAAAGAGAGAGAAATGCAGAATGTAGAGTTAGTAGGTAGGTAGATCAAGAAGATTTAGGAGGAGATGAGCAGGGAAAACTATGATCAGAATATAGTATATAAAAATTATTTTCAACAAAAAATACATTTTAAAAATTATTATTGAAAAACACCTACTTTGTTTTCAACCAGTCATTAAAACCCACTTTTACAGTTTCCATACATGTCCTTGCAGCCTTGTAAGTAGGATGAAATGATAACTCATACCATCCTCACAAGACATTTACAGAGAAAGATTTCACACCTCTGGATCTGTCCGCTATTCAGGAGCTGTACATGACACACACAAAGATACCCGGATCCACACAAAGGGCAAATAAATCATTATACGAGAGACTTCTACCTTAACAGCTTCCCCGAGAGTCTGGTTTTTGTCAGCTTCCTCACTGGAGTGCAATTCAAGTCTATAATTCAACTCCTGTAGTTGCTGGGCCTGTTCATTCAACAGCATTTGTGCCTGCTGTTCCCGAAGTAATGCATTATTTAGTTCTTCACATGCACTTTCAAACTTCTCATGGGTGATCAACTTCTTTATAAAGAAGAGAAAAAAATCAGTTGTGAGCCAGTTGTATTGCTGTACTATTTATTCTTTCAGAGCTGCATTCACTAACAGAATAAATGTAGCATAGGGCTGTACTTAAGAGCACTTCCTGCTCTTCTGGAAGATCAGAGTTCCAGTTCCAGCAGCCACAAGCTGGGGAAAGGGGTTCACAACCACCTAGGACTCCAGCTCCAGGCACCTGATCTCTTCTGGTCTCAACAGCTACCTGGACACACGTCATACACTCACACAAACACATATACATAAATAAAAATTTGCAAAATAATATAATACAAACATTTCCAAGAACTTATTTATAAAACAAAACATAAAATTCGTTTTACTCAAAATAAAAAGTCAAGGTAAACTATCACTTTGGTTTTTAAAGTGTAACAATCACACTTTTAAAGTTATTTTTTAGTCAAAGAAAATCTTAGAAAACACCTGAAATTCCAAATAACGTTTTTGTAAATTTATGATTATGAAATGGAAAGCCTTTAAAATGGTATCCAAATGACCATAAGTATTTGAACAATTACCTCAGTCTGTGTTCAGTGAGTTATTGCTCGGCTCTGTCTGGCCCAGTGTCCTCTTTCTGGCAGTTCTTACCCATACTCACACTATCTGCTACCTTGTTTTAGTTTTCCCCAGCCACTGTAGTTATCAAAATTTGCCTTACTTGTTTTCTTGCCTATATACATGGAGGGAGCAGCACTGAGCTGAGAACTCATTCAGCTTTCTCACCCAATGCAGAGAAGAATTAAAGAATATTGGGATGTGAACACCTGCTAATGAAACTCTATGCCGCAGTATGAAAGATGACTTATGATACTGTGACTACACGGAGGTCATGACACTGCTCTGGAAAACCAACAGCTCTAGACAGGACGCTGGTCTAGAGACACATGGGATCCAGGTCAGACTCACTCAAATATCCCTTCTTCAAAGCACTGAGTGAGTAAACACAGTTACAAGAAACCTGACAGTGTGATCTTGTAGGAAAAGGAGAAAGCTGTTTCACAAAAGCTACGTCCTCCAAAGTACATGCGGAAAGGGGAAACACCCAGGTCTCTTCATGCTGGCTGCACGTGTTTATTTACAAGTCACAGCTTTCCCACTGTGAAAGGGGACCTAAGGTAGATTTGTACTACTTATCACAAACATAATGCAACCTGACTCAGATTCTTTAAAAACTCCAGGAATGGCAGAATAAAAAACTTACCTCACTGTACATATCTAGAAAAATATAAATTATTATCATTTAATGAATTTCTTTATCTCTCAACTTTCTGATAAATAAGACAAAAATAGTTTCATCAGGGCCCAGAAATTATACAACCCATAGACAGAGAAAGCTTTGATTTAATTAAATCTGAGTATAAATTTATAGCATGAGCACATGTGTGATACTAAAAACAGCACTAAATAATCTAACTTATTCAAAATATTTAAATTATAAGAGAGTATAAAGTATAAAAATAAAAATTACTCAAACCATAAGCGAGGAGACTTTCTTCTCCTCCACAAACAGCAGGCTCCTCAATAGAAGGCATTTTAAAAGGGAAGCTTTCTGAGGGAAAAAACAATCCTCCTTAACTCCCACATCCCATCACACACCTTTTAGGGCTGTTAGCGCTGTTAACCAGAAGCCTGGGTCAAACGGAAAAATATAAGTTTTCATCAAAATAAAAATGCATACTTTAAAATGCCAATCTCAGAAATGCAAGACAGCTTGGCAGGTAAAGGTATTTGTTGCTATGCCTGAAAACTTGAGGATGACCCCCAGAACCCATGGTGGGAGAGAGGACCAACTCCCAAAAGATGCCTCAAACTTCCACACTCGTGCTGTGGTACAAGCGAGTGCATAAATGCATGCATGCACATGCACACACAATGCACGTACACCCATATATATGCACATTGGTAATTAACTAATTAGTTAATTAATTAAATGCCGGGTATGCAACCCACTCCTAAAGGCAGGCTCCATGCCTAGCAGGAGATGGCCAACCCAAAAAGAACACAGTGGCATTTTTGGAGGATTTTGTTTTTAACCTTATAGGTCCTTTGCCTATATATTACTTTCTAGTGTTGTATTTTTATAGGATTCCTGTGTGAACATATGTGTCCCTGTATCTACATATCTCTCTTATACTTTTTCTTTGCCTCATTTTTTTTCCTGTGTGTTTGCCTTTTGTTGTTGTTGCTGTTCTATTGTAGCTTGCTTTCATTGTTATTTAATGAGATGGCCTGTTTTCTAATGAAAGAGAAAAATTAAAAGTGTGGATTTGGGCAAGAGGGGAAATGGAGAGTATCTAAAAAAGGGCTGAAGGAGGGGATTCTAATCAGAATATACTGTATAAAAAATTATTTTCAATAAAAAAATGGAAAAAATAAATAACAGAAAATTTTAAAGACTTTGAATTATTGCTAATAATCACTCAATGTTAAGGAAAAGACAGAAAATACCACACAGCCATTGTTTACTAAGCCAAACCCACTTACTGAGTGCTTGAATTCATTTAGCTGCATTTGCAGATTGTGTGATTTGTCAAGCTCCTTCTTCATTTCATTAATGGTTCGTTTGTATTCTGTAACTTCTAGACGCAGTGAGCGGCGCTCCACTTCAGCTGCATGCAGCCTTTGTGTGAATCCAAATATGTATTTTTGTAATGATGCAGTACTTTTCTGTTGTTAAATAAGAATATATTTACAAATATCAGCTACAAACTTACTAACAAACCTATAGCAATGAGCACTTTACTCAATTAAATGTAACTCAAACATTATGAAAAAAATAATACTAGCTATTGCTAAATCAAGTAAGTAAACTTATTCAAGGGGCCTTTTCATTTCATTAAAAGTTTATGTGAAATTAAATTATTCACATACAAATGACTTAAAATATAAGTAAGTCTGATACACACTTTAACCCACAAATCGTAAAGTCACTTTTAAGTGAAGCAGCACGTACCATAATGGGCATATGGCTGCGGAAACCATACTTCAGGGCCAGTGTGTTCACCTTGTGAAGTCCTCGGGCCAGCCTCTGGACCAGTGAATCTTTTTCTACATACGTTATGCTCCGGTTGTTATGCAGTGGTATGCTTTCCATTACCAAACTAATTTTATCCATTAATTTTGCAAAAGAATTCTTGGCTGCACCTATGAGCAAATGTCCGCAAATTCTGGAATTTGGATCTTCAAAGGAAATGAAAAAAAAATCACAAAATATGAGTTGCCTCATGTTGATTTCACAGTGTTACTGATCACAATAGAATAACTTTTCAGTTACATAGTTCTCATTCATTTGTAGTAATCCATCTGAAACGTCCTTTCCCCATGAAACATCAAATGAAAAGCAGAGCACAATACTTACTGAATAGTACTCCTATAGAAAATGTCATGACCTTACAGTCTGACCTTCACGTGGAACACCGTCATAGAAATACCTTCCCTTTCTGTTTTCTAAAACATCATATGATTTAGGTTATAATTATGACAGTCATCATTATGACAGATTTGACCTTGGTGCCATAATACTTAGTAGTCTCAGACAAGAAAACATAATTTGCTTTGTTCTGGGACAGTTAAAAATTCTACAATTATTTATTTCCCCATGGGAGTTCAGTAATCACCCTGCATCTAATGGACTTGAGGGTCCCTGTATTTGCAACACAAGCTGATTACTACCAGATCATCAGGTCTGTAATTAATAATTATACCTAATGTTGAAAAATAAAACTATTACAACTCTTCCAAGTAATTGATATTCCAGATAATGATTAATAGGCTTATTTATGCCTTCAGAAAGGTTATACATTTTGTTTCCCTATTCTAAGCAGGTCTCAGTCTATCCTTGTTTGTCTTGTGATGCTATCCAAGTGAAAGGGTCAGCACTGAGACTCTTCAGACTCAAATCTAGCAGTGTACATTCTACATCTTAGAAATCTCTACTATTGGAGTTAATTTAAATCTTCTCTCTATCAGAAGCACAATAAAACTTAGGCAATGTCACCAAATCAAAATGTATTGTATCAATTGTGAGATTACATACAGTTCAAAATGAAGGGACACGTTGACTAAGAGGTGACCAATGGTTTCCTTGGCATTAAGAGCTGTCTCACCAATATTCTGCATCCTACCTCACGCTGTTTTCTAAACTTTGAACTGTATTCTATTTACCCTCTTCCTCAATGTATAAATGGAAGGATAAATCTTCTATGCCATGCAGCAGTCAAAATTTGAAAACCACGTTGCTTCGGTTAAGCATAAAATAAAATGTGCCACGCTGATAAAGTATAATGTTGTGCATTTAAATTCTATTCCATTAGTTGTTGGTGCATTGGCTTCAGAGAATATAAGGTAATGCATTTTCATTCTATATGATACTCATTGAAAATATACTCTCTAAGTGTGTCCTGGACAAAGTCACCCAGAGTTTAATTAAAATACACAATTCTTTTGTTAATAATGAGTCATTTAATAAGTAATGAATGACAAAAAGTTTACTAGCACAATTAGATGGCATTCAACACATAATGTAGAACAGTTAATAACTAAGTGTATATATTAAATAATTCATTGTTCAGTGAAAGAATAGTAAATTTGTTTTTCTCTTAATATTTTATATAATACATCATTCTCATATCAAATATACATATTCTCTGTCTCAAGTTGCACTCTATTTTTTATTTGTCCTCTTTCATTTCCAACTGCCTTATCATCACTATGCCAGGCTTGCATATATGGATATTTTTATATATTTGTTGGATAAACCATATTCCATTTTACTCTCATAGCAACTGCAACAATACTGAACTTAGCAACACATTCAGAAATACCAAGAAAAGTAATATTCATTTTCCTATTATATCAAAATTACTTTTAACCAAATATAAGATCTGTTTTTAAATTTTTAAGTAATAAAAAGTTAATGACATTTTCAATAAAAAGCCCTAAAATAAAAATTCAACTACAATTAAATTTTAATACATTTTTTTTTACTATATCACTGAAATGTGCTTGGTAGACTATAACCTCTAATTAAAGAGAAAATTGACAATAAAATTCCATGAGGCATTCTTCTGAATGGTTAAGAAATTAGGCAAAGACACATTCTAAGCACGTGTGCTGACCACCATGAATTAAAGTCAGAGTAATAAATAATTTCTGTTTGAAGAAACACTTTTACAATACAGCTCACATTTTATCATATGGAATACAATTTTATAATAAAAGAGAAAAAGACACCAGGAAAAGTGCCAGAATTCCATCTTTATTTGCATGACAGAAAACAAAAGTCACTACAAATCCTCTTTACTTGTCTCAACTATTGTAAAATTTACTCCTGTTAAAATACAATTGCTACTCATTTTCCCAACTTAAATAATGTGACCTTTATAAGAAGCAGATCATAGGTTATATAATTACTTTCTCTAATAGAACAGGCATGTGCTTTTACGCCAAAGTTGAAATCTTCAAAACAATTTCCTAAGCATCTGACTGGCCTAGTAATTCGAACCCTCAAGGTGACAGGACTCCCAAGGGAACAGAGAGTCCCATCCTTCAGCCACAGCAAACACAACAGCGTGATGTTTGTCATAACAAAATACAGAGATGAGTAGCATGTACATGATGATGTGTGTAATAAAACAAGAAGTCTTTAGAAAACATTACAGAAATCTATTACTACTGAAAATACATGTCTATACATGTCTATAGTGTGTTTTTTAATTAAAATGGAGCTTTTCAACTCAGAAAGAGAACCCCCTTTAAGTAAAGAGTAACAGTGAATTAACAATAAAGTATATAAAAACATCAATGATGAGTAATGTGAACAATGTCAGTGACAATGCTAATTTAAAATTTTCTTTGGGGGAGAATCAGCATTCTAGCTGCCTGCAGCCCCAACCTGGGAGGAAGATGCTAATTAAAGTGAAGGCACTGACTGGAAAGGAGATTAACATTGACATTGAACCCACAGACAAGGTGGAATGAATCAAGGAGCATGTGGAAGAGGGAATTCCCCCACAACAGCAGCGGCTCATCTATAGTGGCAAATGAATGGATAAGAAGACGGCAGTGATTCCAAGATTCTCTGTGGTTCCGTCCTCCACCTGCTGTTGGCTCTTGGAGGAGGAGGTGGCCTTGGGCAATGATGAACTTCAGTTCCATTTTATCTCCTCACCCTGTCACTCATAATGAAGCATCACATATCCTCTCACTCCCTGGGACACCAGAACTACTGCCCCCTCCCTCGAATGTCCAATCTGTGTGCCTACTGGTAGAAGAATGTGAGGAACCAGGTTGCAGTGTTCCTGGCTCAAATGACCCTTACTGGCTGTCGAGTTTTACTTTGCAGTCCTGTGTATTTCCCTCTCTTATGGCTGTGTGTTCCCTTGGTTGTCAATAAAATATTTCCTAGCCCAAAAAAAACCAAAAAAATTCTTTTAAATAATGTCTCACAATGAGCGCAGGCTAACCTAGAACTCCCTATAAAGGCCACGCTTGCCTTGGAATCTTCCTCGTGCTTTCAATTCACAGCTGCTGGTACCATAGGTGTGCAGCCAGGCCTGGCTAAAGTCTTCATTACAATAACTTCTCATCAACAGAAATACAATTTCTTACTGCTTTGACCTTCCTACATACAAAACTTCAGTCTTGACCTGAACACAATTAGGCTTTGAGTCTAGCCCTTTTAGCTCCGACTTCTACAAAGTTTACTAAAGTGTATAATAGGAGTAAGCGGAGTAGCAACTTATGAGCAAGGGTGTGTTTGAGTCATCTATCTTCAAGGCAATTAAGAATTACTTAAGAGAATTAAATTAGAGATGTGTAATAATAAAATGTACTAATAGTCTACTGTGTCAATCTACCTTTGTATGTCTTCAGAGATATATTTAGAAGCTAAATCAAGTCCTTTTGATTCTATCTTTATATTTTTGTTTTATTTTTATTTTTAGAACAGTTGTACCAAAAAGTTCAGCTACCTATATTCAATTCCCACGATGATTGATATTTCAGCCCTTCAACAAAAGTAGCATCCTCCCCTGTTTGAGGTAAATGATCTCTTGCAGGCACACCATTTGGATATCTAGAAGAAGTAATTTATCTCAAGTGGGCAAACAATCACAAAAGCAAAAAGGTTGCCACCTGTCCAGTATTTATAGAGACAACATGAAAACTGGCGTCTCTGCCCACTGCCTATGAATACTTTATCAAAGTTTATGAACATAATGGTCAAACACTGTAAGTATTTTCCAAAAAGTTTCTTCAAGTTCCAATTATTAAACTTCCAGTTTCATGAAATGGTAAAAAGTGATGTTAGTTCCATTAAGACATCAGTATACAAGAAAAGGATAAAACAATGGACATTTGTAGGCCATTTACATATTCAGAAAAATATAAAGATGCAAGTTACTTTTTTCTGTAACAACATATTAGCTAGGATCTTCTATTAGCCAATGTCTTAGTTATGGTTAATACTGCTACAGTGAAACACCATAACCAAAAGTGATTCAGGGAGAAAAGGGCTTATTTCACTCACAGTTCCATGTAACAGATCGTCGTCAAAAGCAATGAGGGCAGGAATTACACAGGATAGAAACCTGGAGGCAGGAGGTGGTGGAGAGGCAATGGAAGGGTGCTGCTTACTGGCCTGCTCCTTGTTGCTTGCTCAGCCTGCTTTCTTGTATAACCCAGGACCAACAGCCCAGGGATGGCATCACCCAAAATGGGTTGAGCCCTCCTCTGTCAATCACTAATTAAGAAAATGCCCTAAATGCTTGCCTGCAGCCTGATCTTATAAAGACTTTTGCCTAATTGAGGCTCTCTCCTCTCAGATGACTTTAACTTGTGTCAAGCTGACATAAAACTTTCCAGCACAGCCACAGTTTGTACATGAGAATGTTAAGGCTGAAAAGGGACAGAGTTACACAAATAGTGTACAATACCACACAATCAAACACCAAATTCTTAGTCAATGTTTAAGAGTATATGGTCAAGAGTATATTCTCTCTCCTAGAAGATAACATATACCATTCAGAATTTATTCTAAATGCCTAACTTTTAAAAATAATCATTTAGTGAATTTTTCTTTAACCTAAGAGTAAACACAACAAGCAATACAGTTATTTACTATGCTAAAAGGTACTGTTTGACCAACAGCACAGGCTCTAAGAGCAACAATCAATAAATGG